TTCCTGCATTGCCTTACTGTGGAGTCATGAAGGGTTGCCATGGGTTCCGGTTGGTGTACATGTGCGTACAATGTACCTGTACGTTTGGACACAGCACTTTGAAATTGCATGCTCATCATTCGTTTTGACTTGAGGGGAAAAGGAAAGACAAATAGGGGGAGGACAAAAATTATACATGTACCATGTACATGTAAGCTCTGCTGTCCCATTGTACATGTATGTATTTCTGTAAGTTTATTTACAAATTTACCATGTGTGAAATTATTCATCGGGGAAGACAGGTTAGCTACCGGTTGTGTCTTGTGAAATTTCATTTTGTTGCTCTCATTTCTACTCTCAACTCGCACCTTGTTGAACAGGAAGACTGTCTTAGGTATTTTTTTCTTAACATGCACATGTTCATGTATGACGGTCTGAACAAGTTGGTTTCAAACTTGAAGAGAGCAAGACTGTTCATTTGAGAGGTGTAGCAGTAGTCAGTGAGATAAAGTAACATGTATTGTATTGTATATGTTGTTATACATTGTATAATGTGTTACTGTACATGCATGTACATGTACCAGTACCGGTGTACACTTTTTCCTGTGATGTCACAATCTTGCTGGACCGCGATGTGTTGTAATGGTAATAAGTGCATAATGTGATGGTAATCTACCTACGTCCAAGATAAACTAGTCAAGCATGCAGCGTTCGCACGTGCACTTGCACGTGGTTGAAGCTCCCCGCACATGTACATGTAGGAATATTTGCGATCACTGTGGCCATAGCGGTCCACACGTGGTGGGATTGTTTACATTTAGCGCAATACAGTCACTCGGATGGAAAAAGATCTACATGGGAGGGGGAATGCTCCGGCTAAAATTGTGTCATTTTGGGTTCAGTCTCGTTAGGATCGTGTTTTAACGTGCAGACCGTGACTTTGTAATTCTGCTTTTTGCTGTAAGGTCTCTAAGACAGGTTCAAATTCTCTGTCGCAAAAACCTTTGCTAATATTTGTATCTCTGTCCTCCCCGAGCTGAAGTGCGTCCCCAAGTGGCAAAAGAAAGACAGCTGGTAATAAGTTTTCCAAGAGGGTTTTTGCATGTGTTCTACATGTACGTGTATGTACGTGTAGAGACCATACATTAAGGAATTATTACGTGTATTCAACCTGCTCCGTGTCAAACACACCATTGATCTCCGTTACAAAGGCGTGCCTGTGCCGTGAGTAACAAAAAAACACGCCCTCGTTTGTTCTGCCCAGAGCAGATGGCTTACATGTGTACATGTATGTGTAACTTAATTGAGCTAAATATGGATGAGCATATACCTGTAACTACCGGTAACTGTAACATACATGTACATGTATCCTTGTAACATAACCAAGATCTGTTGGAACCAGTAGTATTCGAAATTTATGAGAGAAATTTAGAAAATGTATACATGTACATTTACACGAACACATCAATAAATTTGTAAGTAAGAAAGCAATTGCAGAAATAGTGCAGTTTGTTCCAGGACACTTTGTAACTAAAGAGGTTTTATTTTTTATTTATGCCTGTCCAAGTCATTTTGTAACTTTAACCGAGTAACTACTGTGCATGTAACCAAGATTACATGTCCAACTGCCGCTCACAAATTACTTGTAATCAATTTTGCTCGTGGATGAGTTATTACGTGTAATCCGGGCAAAATGTGGAAATCCGATCCCTGTGTACATTGATGTACCTTCCGTGTGTAGGATTCCTAAGAGCATAGACATACATGTAATGTACATGTAATGTACATGTACGTACGTACATGTACGTACATGTACCGTATGTACATGGCCTTCAAGGTTTTTAACGAAACTTACTGCAGAATAAGAAAGCAGCCTGCTCATACAAATGTTGACCACTTTTGGTAATGTGGGACCACTTTTGGTAATGTGGTACATGTACATGTATATGCCAGTGTACCAGCACATATTCGTGGGCGCGCACATGCCGGTATGTACAATTTTGTTGCACATGTTCTGCAGTTTGTCTAAATGTGATCTATCTAAGTGTACAATAATGCGTTGCTGTGCAGTTCGTGTGTGGTACAGAAATTAGGTTCCAGAAATTAGGGGTCCATTTTTTTTCGTGTCCCTGTCACATCTGATTCTGACATACATGTACCGTACATGATTTTGTACGGTAAGTTCAGAACGCATTTATTAATTTCCAAGAGTGATGAATTAATGCAAATAACCTGCCAAAGAAATGGTAATAGTTTCAAATCACTTCCAGCAATATTCTCATGTCAAATAACAAAGGTCAGATGTAACAGGGACACAAAACTGTCGCACTTTTGGACCCCTAATTTCTGGAATAATACATGTACATCTACATACATGTGCATAGTAGTATTGTACCGGTTGTATACAGCGTAATGTACAAGTTCTAAAACGAGCCAACATACCTTCCATTGAATCCATTCTGGCCCAAATGCAGCTTTGTTGGGCTGGTCACGTCCTACGTATGTCTGATGACAAAATCCCTAAGGCCTTTCTATACGGCGAACTGTCTCTGGGGAAGTGAAATCGTGGACGACCCTTGCTTCACTACAAAGACGTGTCGAAACGCAACATTAGTGTTGCCGGTCTCCCAGCAGACCGGGAACATCTAGCCCAAAATCGTCAGACATGGCGGGCCCTAGTCCAACGGGGGGCAGAACGGGTTCAAGAGGCTTGGGTCCGCAGACAGGAGGAACGGCGTGCAAGCAGGCACGCCCTTGCTGTTGAGACACCTTATGCCGGCATCGTCTGATAAGACGGCCCGACTACTACTACCTGTACATGTACACATGTATGTCATTTTTCAAACATTGCATTGGTCTTGGTTGTTACAGCATCTCTGCCGTATATTTCAGACTCACACCATACATTACTGTACATGCTTAAAATTAATGTTTTTGTGTCCTCTTTCAAGTTTCATTTTACAATGCACTGTAAGTATCCTCATACCTGATACTTAGCAGCATTGTTGACCATACCTTGTTCTCCACACAGACCAAAAAACACTCATTAACACGGACGTGCTCATGTGTTTTTTTTGGGGGGGGGATAGATGAATGTGATCTAATCTCATTAATTAGGGAAATGTTGTTTCTCCACCGTCCATTAATTTGCAAGGCAAAGGAGACCACCGAGGTCCGGTGCGGCTCCCTGATAACCCAGCGGCACAGCGCTCATGGGAGGAAACTGTCCAATTACTTGCAGGTGGAGCAACACAGAAATCCCAGTGAAAAATTCTAATTGGTTCCAACCATGCACAGGTGCATGCCTATCAGTAGTTGACCGGGCATATCATGAAGAAACTGGCTGCTCTCTATCTGTTCAGTATGCATGTCGTCATACAAATAAATGTAACATGTTGTAAGCATGCATGAACATTTCACCTGTGGTTACTAAAAACCTGGACACATGTATATGTCATGTTCAGTATGTACACCATATTCATGTAAGTACATGTACATGTACCTTGAGTTGAAAACTTTTATACAAGATAATCTGGGAGTGAGGTTATTGTCAGACCATGTGCGGGTATCCAGGTACCAAGATACCCGCCTGTCGGTTGATATCAAACCCAGTTCCATTTTTTCTGGCCGGGTACCGGTACCCGTGGAAAAAAATTGAAACAAAAAAATTAATAAATATTTGTCAATGCATTAGAAAAAAAATCCATACATGAAATGTCTTTGAAATTTATTACTGAAAGGTCACTGAGGGTTGAAATTGCTGAAAAATTGTGGATCGGTTGTCTGATCTGATGTTCCTCGTCAAAAGTGTTGTTTTTCTGTTTTATATACATGTACCGGTACTTACAGAAAGAAGATTTTTTAAATGGAAGGTAACCATTTCAACAGTTCGACAGTGTGCTGCTCTCTACGGGTCCATGTACTGTATACATACAAAAAACAGTCCTGTTTAGGGCACATGGTCTGCAGAGGTTAGATACATACACTGTACCGGTACATGTACATGTATGAGCAATGCTATTTGTTATTACATATGTACATGTAAGTGTTCTCTTTCAGAGGTACATGTACGGTACCTTACCCAGGTACCGATGCTGAAATAAAACTGGTCCTGATTCCAAAAATACCTGTAAATGCACATCCTTAGAGGTTATACGCATGTCAATTGTACAACAAACTAGGGCTGTGCCGAATATCCGATTATTTGATTGATTGTCAAATAATTGGATATTCGAATTAAAATATTCGAATGCAAAATCTATAAAAAGGAAGGAAGAATTTTCTCGTTTGAAATGAGAAAAATCGCACAATGGAGGTTTGTTTCAAGCAGATTGAAATGAAAAGCAACAGAATAATACGGTACATGTACGGTACATCCTACATGTGCCGATTCAAAACGTAAATTCAATAAAAATTTCATAGAAATAGAAACTTTCAGCAGGGTAAGAAGTTGTTCTTGTCTTCAATCTTGCTTAGTGGTAGCTGGAGATTGTCCTAGAAGTGAGACATTGTTATAGTGATTATATTGTACAATTGAGTGTATTATTGCAACTGTTTTTGTAAATGGTTTGTCAGTACGACCACATGTCCGGATATTCAATCGAATTGAACGTTGGATATTTAGATAGTGAATTATTCGAATTGACTCAGCCCTACAATGAAACCCACGTTATGTACCAGTGCATTGTACACATACACTGTACCTGTACCTTGGGATTGAGCTTTGAACCTCACAAAGCTTACTGAATGTACATGTATTTGTCTAGGTGCTTAAAAATGGAGAAATTATTAGTTTCATGTGAAACAGTTGCAGGTGGGACGTACTTTCCTAATTGGCCCATAAAAAAACAAATGATTCACAGCAAGTGGTCAGTGTTTATTGTTTCTTGATGAAAGGTCAATATGATGTTCTGCTTTTATACTGGCATCTTTTCCCTCAGCGTTTAATTGTTTAAAAGGTGCAGTAAAATACTTTTAAGCCAACAAACTTGAGAAATTGTATGTTTATGTCGCACTTGCAGGTAACTGTGTTATCATCTACTGTAGGCCTACAGTTGCTTTGCAAGCCCCGAACGGTTACTCGCTTCTCAGCGCAATGAACAGAGAAGAAATACCTATCTGCAGAGAGGTATGTACATGTACTCGTAAGCATCGGATAGGGGACTCTTGCTCTAGAGTTGAAAAAGCTTGTCATGTTTTTTTTTTTGTTCTAAAAGATTTGTTTGTAGTACTGGTACTTCGTAATCCGGAGGCAGTTTGCTAGGACAAAGAATGGAACCTGGAAACTGTGGAGTGTCTCACAAGTACTCTATTCCATGGATACCCTGCATAATAGTACCTGCATATCAGATTTGTCACTTTAGTTTCATTGGAGTGATGAGTTCAAATTTTCTGGCAGGTTCCTCTTTCCTGGAAGGAACTAGTTCCCCATTCAAGATTTTTATGTACATGTAACTTCTCATCCATTTGCACTGGTATCCGTTCATCGTCCTTTATATGTTAACACTCCCCTCCCAGTCCTGGTTACGCTGTACATGCCCTGGCCGGCTCCATGTTAGGAAATTCGGAACTGAGTTGACAATTTGTTCCCATAGCAATCTTGTCCTCCACACTATATGCATGCACGTGTACATGTACATGTGCAGTGTACCGGTACAGTACCGTTCAGTGCACGTACATGTACAACAGTAGTATCCCCACAAATTACATCAGGGTTGTGAGATATCAGCTTTTCAGCTAATTTCAGCTCCTTTTTGTTCAGATGTTGACCCTCAATTTCAGCTTTTTTTGTACACCTGGTCTGTACAAAAATGTGGGAACTGTTTACATGTACATTTCAGCTTTTGGCTCGCTGTTTCCAGCTCTAATTTTAAGTGGCCACTCACACCCTTGTTACCGGTACATGAATGCACTGTGCCTGTAATGACACATACGTGGTCCACCTATGTGATCTTCAGTACTCATTCATTAGAAAGGATGCGCTCGGCCATGGCATGACATGCATATGCACACACCTCTGCACCGGATATTTATTTTTGGCCTTTCAATTTGCAGTCTCGTCTGACTCTGATGTCGTCCTGTCTTTCTCATGCATTATTCATTCCCGGTAACATAATAGCGCTTGTAAACCCACTTGACTCTTGACAGGAATTTGTTTAACGGCATCAAGATGATATCCAAGAGCTAGCGGCAGGGAATCCGGAACCGCTTTATGCCAGTTTTTGAATTCTGTGAGTACATGTATATATTTGTAATCCTCATTCCATCCTGGTGGCAGAATTTATGTTGCCATGGCAGTAAACTAGAAGGTGATTTTGTTTTCTGATGTGGATCCACCCGCTCACACACGCATGTTTGCTTCACAGTCTGTTGACAATGGTTGAATTTTTGGAATCCCATTCAAACTACAATAGACACATTCTGTTCTGTTTATTTCCATCGAATTTCATATACAGGTACACGTACACGTATTTCCCTAAATTTGCCCCCCAAAAGGTCCTTGTTGTCAAAATGGGATTGCTTTAGAAACAGGATGCAAAAATGATTGTTTTTCTTTGCCTTAAATGTACCGGTACAAGTTAAGATGTGGACATTTTGTTTAAGTTCAGGTTATTTTCTTGTGTGCATTTATTGATGGGGGCCTCCAAGATAATTAAAAACCGAAGCCCTTCGACAATAAGTGACAAAAATGGCCACCAAAGGGCCAAGTCCTTAATAACCAATCGCAGAAATAGTTCTAATGCCCTTTGAAACTCGAAACGCGGAGCAGATCATGCTGACATAATTGCATTTATCCGTCCTTCGCCAGCCCCAAGAAGAAAAGAATGGAAAGAAACCGCTGTCAGTGAAAAGTGTTTACCAAAAATAATAGGACAGGTGGTTTAAGGAGCGGGTAGATGTGCACATGACAAACGAGTGCTCATTTGGTAAATGGCCGGCTAGACTGTCTCTGTCCATTATTTCCATTAGGGCTACATGTACATCGTTTACGGTTCGATGGACGAAGACGAGGAGTGAATAATTCAGCTGCTTGCGGTAGATTGATGAGAGTAAACGCGTATACCGTATCTATGAACATTTACATGCAGTGTGTTGATTCCGACTGTTTTCCGAACCCTCTTTGGGTTTTTTAGGGTGAGGGTAAAGGGCACAATGTCTGACTAGTTGATCAGGAACATTTATTTACAGATCAGCTGACGTTTTGCCATGTCAGATTGGAAGCATGATTGATTACGTGAAGTTTTTTTGGAGGGGGTCAAAATTTAATGTTCATATGTAGCCCTTGTACCGGTATGTGTGTATTCATCGTGTATTGTACATGTACCGGGCAATAGTCAGTGTACATGCACTAGTACCCGTACATGTACCGGGCAACAGTCAGTGTACATTACATGTACATGCACTAGTACACTGTACATGTACATGGGGGTACTGTACATGTACTGGGCAATAGTCAGTGTACAGTACAGGCACTAGTACCGTACTTGTACCGGTACTAGGCAATAGTCAGTGTACAGTACATGGCACTGTACATATACATGTACAATGTAGGCCTACTTGTACATGTACAAAGTAGTTTCATTTAGATTACAAGTAGATTTTGTGGTTGTCAGCCAAGCGCATAAATTCACAGTGAATCGATATCCCGCCAGCGAAGAGTTTCGGTTGACAAGATTTTATATGTAGAGGCAAGTGCCTCTGTAATGTACAGTGCCTTCAGTGTGTTTTTCCCTCTGCTTCACTCCGTCCGAATGAAGAACCGGATACAGTCCACGTCAATGTACCGTACCGATTCACGTCCCACTTGAGTATAAGGAACCCTCGAGAATCAAAAACATACATGTAGGCCTACCGGTTATGTACATGTATATGTACATTTAGGATCACTGACTTTCCTAAATCTTCTTTTTTTTCTCTAGTGTTTGATTTTTCCCGGGGGCTTGAAATTTTTGCTTTTGTTTTCTTCTCGGTGAATGAGTGTGGTCGATGGTCGTGATGCATCCAGAAAATTTCAGCGGAGCTGAACGGGACCCACAGCCGTGGTTTAATTGGAGATGCGATCAATACTGGACACTGGATGCGCGATAACCAAGCTGTGCGGTTGTGTTGTGCTTTACATATCAATGACTAGATCTATACACATGATCGTTTCTTGATACACGTCATCAACATACAAGTATGTACAAGAACATACAAACATTCATTTTGTACAGTGCACAGATGTCAAAAACCGCGAGTCTGTTTATTTGACTGATTATTGTTGGACTGGCAACATCCTGTAAAGAATAAAAGGCATGAAAACCTGGATCAGATCACTTTTTTCTGAGCTTTTGTTTGACAGCTGTCAAGAAATTTTCAGGATGGCTGTTTGGCATGCTGTCCATGTAGCGTTGTACACGTAGCTGAAATTGTTCTTGATATACATGTATGAAGATGATGATGTCCTTCAGGACAGTGCTTTGTGTTAGTGTTCGACTCAAGTTGTACGGGGTCCCCTGTATGCTAGCTCAAAAATACATGTACCTGTACCGGTACCTTTAATATGCAGGCATGCAGCTTTTCCTCCTATTGGCCGATGCCCTTGGTTTTCACTTCATACTCATGCCATTGAAAATTGAGTTCTAAACACTGTAGGACAGTCTTTTGAAGATTGGAATTTCCTCATTTTTTGCCGTGCCCCGTACATGTACCGCTATGTGATGGCAACGTGTACATGTAGCAATTTGTGGTTTGTGTCTGTTCAGAGGTGAGATTTCTCAGCTTTTTAGCTGATTCCAACCAATTTTTCCTCACCGGCTGTGTACAAAAGTACAGGAGATTTTCACAGTTCAGCTTCGTCGTACCTTTTTCAGCTACGTGTATCTATATCGTCGGTCAATCTCACCCCTGCTGTTTCTTTTTACACACGTTATCCTTTCTATTATATTAATTCAGCGTGCATCAGTGCACACGTTACACCGGGGTGGTTGATGTAAGTAATGCAGAGCCACTAGCGTGGCTAACAATAATGCACATTAATGAGTCTCCTCTCTTTCCCCCACCCCCCCCCAAAAAAAAAGGCTTCATGAAAAGGGATAAAAAGATTGCTGCTGAAGTTTAAGGTGCAGTGTGGTGCGTAATCATTGCAAGTAATAGGCATTATCAATCACAAGCGTGCTGTTTGCTCCGGCGCGTGCCCGCATGCTCCCAGACGGTGTTTGCACAGTGGGCATGTGTGCTGAATTTGCCGTTCTCGGCTCCTATCTCTCCCCTAGAACCTTGGCTTCGTCGTCACTGATCCCTTCCGTCTCTCCCGTGCCAAGAACCCAAGGAACTCTTTTAACGATCCTGTGGCCCTGGGCAAGACAATGTGTCGGTGCCATTAGGCTTCAGCAGGCTGGTATCTGTGCAAACAATCGGCCGGTTTTTCTCTTCTTCCATTCCTCCTCCTTCCTCATTTTCTTTCTCTAAATGGTCGCCTAGCAACTTCTGACATGATGCTTATAAAGCCACTGCAAAAAGACGTATTGTTGTTCGGTCAGAGCTGATCACTTTGCCAAAGACTACGTTTTGTTTCCCCCCTTTTGTTTTCTGAGTAAGCATTCTTTCTTGGTGAATGGTACCGGAATTGTCTGACGTGTCAACCGGTGAAATTAGGTGGTAAACTGACTAAGATATCAGGCGTTGTTCCTTCACCTTGGGTATAAACTACCGGTTCTTGATGTCATAATTGACATGAAATGTCATGTGCAGAATGTCATTGGGTGTGTTTGCTTGTGTTCGTGGAAAAATGATTGGGTGATGTCGGACAGTCGCACCTGGTGTCTTTCTAACAGGTGGATAGCACATTCTACACGTACATGTACTAGTAGGCCCTACAGCACACAGGTTCATTATGGCACCTGTTTACTGGAGCAGATGGTAATTGTCTATACGTGCATAATTGCAGACTTTTTGGTCACTACCGGTAATTCATGTTCAATCCATGTACAGTGTACAGGAGCTAGTTTCATAGAGTTGCTTAAACACATACATGTAGTCTGCTCTTAAAAGCATGATAAAACCATGCTTCATAAACAAAGGTTACCAGTTCAAACTCTATGTGATTGTCATGCAGACCAAAAGACAGGTAAATACCATTCCAAAATTACATACATCAAAAGAAGGTTTGGCTGGTAACCTGATTTGTCAAGCAATATTTTGTAACACTTAAACGAATTTTTCGCTTAAGCAGCGCTATGAAAATTGGCCCCTGGACAGGATACATAATTAAACATTATCATCAAGCAGGAGTACGGTAAGTACATGTACATGTGCCCATAGTCTCACATATACATGTACGTCCATGTATTGCCATTGTTGAGACTAACTATTGGTCTCGTAATGCTGTCAAATTTCAGTAGTGAGTGGCAAAGAGAGACCGATTAGATTTTGTCCTCGAAAATGTTTGAAAAACATACCCCCGGTAGGCCTAGACATTGTCACATTTCCGACATGTACATGTGCGTGAGTACATGTATGTGAGTACATATACATGTACGAGTACATGAATCCCCTACATGGGGTTGCCCCACATGTACATGTACATGTTTGCGTACAAAAGTATGTACAGCTCATGGACATGTAATTTAAGAGAATGAATGCATGAATACATTGTACAAAATGTCAGGTGTATCATGTACATGTTACCGTACCAGTATGTTACATCTGAGATTTCCAATGGACTCTAAGCTTGATTTCTTGTTAGTTGTACTGTACATGTACATGTAGATCTGCAACCGGGTCATTCTATAAATTTGGGGTCCAATTGCATTTTTTTTCCTGTCCCTGTCACATCTACGTGTAAGTCTGGTGTATGATTTTTTATGTTAAGAACTCGTTTAATTTCCAAACAAATAACAGTTTGAAATCAATTTCTGCGATTCATGGTACATCCCTAGTCAAACATGTCAGAGGTAACAGGGATGGAAAATGTCACATTTTGGACCCTAAATTTGAATAACTTAACTGTAGGTGTGCATTGAAATTCCAAGCAAAGAACATTACACGTAGATTTGTATCGTTTAGTCGTACATGTACAAAACGTGTACAGCAGTGGGATACTCAACTTACGAGTCGTGAGTCGTGCCCCGGTCATCCCCCCATTAATTAAAACCGTACATGGTCTGCTGCCGTGCACAGGATGCAAACCCATTCGGGCTCCACCGTTTCAGTGTGCAGGGAACATGGGGCACGCGGCGACAGACACAGAACGGCTGGATTGCGTAGCACAGCACAACGGTCGACATTGCAAATATTCACTTGAAGGCTGAGACTGGACTTCACGCGATATGGCAAAAGCGATGTGAATTTCATCATTGAAGCATGCCCCACACACAAACACGTCCCTTAACTTAAGATGTTTTCCATTACCCCGAAGAGTGTGCTTTGCCCTGAAATTTGCATGAAGCACGAGGCAGCCATTAGGCAGTACATGTTTCTTGTGCCATACATGTACATGTACTGTACATGCACTGTATTATCTGTATATTGACCATGAAAAACAAAAGGGTCTTGAAAAATGGTCAGGAAAAGGAATTATGACAAGATGTGCCGGGGTAAATAGACTTTCAATTTTGTTAGGATTCGACCTTTCCCATGAAAAATGCAAATTGGACAGGTGCATGTGAACTGCTACCACTGGTTGGCAAGCGCGGCCGTCAACACAGTCGGTAGCATAGGCGAGCTGCTAATAACCATAACCTGGAGCGTTGTCGGTCAATCAAAACCATTGCCCGATACTTGAGCACGCTTTTCTTGAAACTAAGTGAAGTTTCCAGTGTCCTGAGGTCGGAAAGTAACAGTTCCTTGTCTTTAAGTTTGGCACTCATGTCAAACTATACTAGCACAGAAACGGCGATTGTGACACGCATGGAGATTGGTAATGTTATGTCACAGATATAAGCAACTTTGCCAACCAGTGGTAGTAATGCGCATGCACCTGCCTTATTTGCATATTTAATTGGAAAGGTCCATTGTAAGTCATTATTGTTCCTCATGATAAACTGTACTGTACAGGCACATGTACAATACCGTACATAATGTTGTCCCCCAGTGTTTCGGTGATGCACCTGTGTGGCGTTTACAGTACCCTCTGCAACTGACATTTAACACTCTCAATAGGAGGGGGAATTTTTGTGACAAGAATCTTTGGTTCACGTACCCGGTACTACAGGTGCGAAAAAGGAAGAAAAGTTTCCTCTTTTGTGAAATGGTGTACTTTTAAAAATAGTTGCCCACTATGGGAAATTGTTCTTTGATTTTTGTGAAATAAAAATGAATTCCTAGGGAGGAGAAAAGCGTGCTTGTACATATGCCGGGATGAGTATATGCATCTATGTATCACGTGATCCAGTATTGATTGATTACCAGTACATATCAATACCTAAAATCAATACCAATATGTCACACATATGGTAAGTACATTTGTTTGAGCAAGTATTCGTAAACAAACACACAGAGCGGCCACTACCTGACTATGGTACATGTACATGTAGCTATTGTATCATGTACGAGTACATGTACATCACGTTGCGCCAACAGTTTGTTACAGAGGCCTTGGGTGGAATAATTGATTGTTGTCAAACATGGCGCAAAACGTCAAGGTATTTCATTGATTGGGCTAAAAATAATTAATTGACCGCATATGGGTTGGCACTCACGTACACGAGCAAAACGTCAGCTGGCAAAACCCACTTCGAAGCCTTGGGTATGCTATTGTTTCAAGTTTCGTCACAATGGCACCCTATTGAATCCAAGTCGCATGCACTGTGTACATGTTAAGTGACTGCCAGTGCATGATGAAGGGTTGACTCTTGATAAAGATGTTTGTTGTGTTCGTCAAGAGTGCCTGTGACAGTGTAACTTTTGCCCATGGGCCCATGGAGAAAAATCGCATGGAAAAAGGTCAGGTTTAGAGGTGGGGAGAAGTACATGCACATGTATGTACCGCTACCAAATCTTTGTTTAAAACGAGTAGAAGGAAAAAGGGTTTTCATTTTGGTTATTTTGGTCATTTCGGAGAAAGATTCTGCTTGTGTCAAAAAAAATCAGCCCTCTAACATCTTTGTTTTTAAAATATGGTTGTGATGAAGAAAATCCAACTGACCTGATTGGTTTGGATGAGATTTGAAACTGGATCATATGTACCTGTTGGAAAGTGAGAAAAGTGTGTTCACCAGCTCAGACCCCAACCCCCCCCCACCCTTTCAGGTTTGGAAAAGGCGGACGACAGATAATTTTCTGTGGCTGGATTTGTAACCAGTTTTTTATCAGAATTGATGAAAACTTTGGAAAAGATGATACCTGGACGGTCCAGATGTAAAGTTCCGCTGGACTGTGTCTGCAGAAATCTGCTTTTACATGTTCATGTACGTCACCGTCAGCGAAACAATTCTTCATTACTGTCCCGTTTGTATGCATCGGTACATGCTCGGGTTGGATTTCTCCTAGAATTGCCAAAAAGGTCACCTCACTGCCGGCAACATTTTGCTTGCTGATAATGCGGTGGGTCAAATGAAATCGAGCACGGAGCGACTTTCGTCACAGGGTGTATTGAGTATCGGAGTCTAAATTTAATTGTTAGATTGATCCACATTTTGCCCCTCCCCCTGTTTACGCAGGGAGCCAAGTGCTTGTCCTGCTTGATGTGTGACCTGTGCCACCTCCATTGACCTTTGACCCCTTGGTGTCAGCCAGCTACGCCCCAGCAGCAATGCCGTCCGTTCTGACACCGCCCCCCACTGGGGAGTACGGGGCCTATCTCGACATCCATGCAACCGGGGCAACAGCGACAGAAAAGGTGGATGTGGTTGTCATTTTTTTTTTGTCGGAATGGTGAGGGTTTCCACGGTTATTGAAAATCCCACCAAAAAAAGTTGTCCTGGAAATTCACGGAAAGGTCATGGAAAATTAGGGGAAAATAAGGCGTCCACATGGAGGAATCCTATCGTCTGAAAACAAACTCATGGAAAAGTCCTGGAAATCAAGATCCTGCAGGGGTTTAAGATGAGCCTCTTCCGATGCAATAATGGAATAATTACAAATCCACAGGATGTTGTGTTTAGTCTGTAGTAGTTGCCATGGCAATCTGTGTTGTAATGTCATGACCTACATGTAGAGTTGTTTCTGGATTACAAAAGCCGTCCAAATTTGCTCGATGATCATGCACGTAAGAACATGTAGAATTTTGAAATGGCTCACTTTTGCGTGTTGTTCATCGGTTTCCTTTTTTGGGGGGTGGTTTCATTTCAACAGCCCAAGAGGGAAGATGTTCCTGAAGCGTTCAATTTCTGGGAGCACGCCAACGCACCCTATCTTATAGCCATTGGATGCGCAGTGGCCATTGTCATTCTTGTCATTGTAAGTGGATCTTCCATCCTGTTTCTGTGAATCACCGCCTAACGGTTACTGGTGTACATGTACATGTATGTGCCTGGAGCCCGTGTTAAACAAAACCTTGCTGTAGCTATGTATAAATGTAAACTCCAAGCTCTTTTCATTTATGAACTCGCAGTTTGTGTTGTGTAAAACTGAACTGAAATTCATATTTGTGACATCCCAGCAAGTGTTCATAGTTTTTGACCTACATGTATGAGTCTGCTTAAATGAGTTAATAACAATTTCATACTCCTGTTGTTCGGATTGCAGGTACTTTTATGTGTATGCAGGGCTTGGCAAAGAGCCAAGCACCTTAGGGAAGAGAACACACGAATCTGTGTACAGTCGACCATCAAGCCCACGATACGGGACGGCCAGCCAGTCCAGCCTGAGGCAGGCTACACCTATGCTTCCTGCGCTACTAGTCAGCCAATCAAAATCAAGTCCAAGGGCCTGCACGAGAGGTTGGTCATGATTGGTCAGTTGTGGATGCATATGTTGGGGTGGCGCTTTGAGTAAGTGGCGTGGATGTGGAGGACGGAAGTTTAGCACTGCCCAAACAGGGTTCCTGTGGCCAGGAAAGTCATGGAAATTTGTCATGGAAGTCATAAAACACTGTGTGATTTCTATTATCAGAAATAAGTGCATAAAATCTGTGATTGTCTTTGCAACCCAAAAGGCTGAGTAGTCCAAGAAATTGTGTTATTTGGTCGTGGATTTTCATAATTTGGTCATGGAAAAGTCATGGAATTTATTTGCCCTTTAGGTGCAGGAACCCTGCCAAAGTTTGTTTAGCTTTGCTTTCACCTGAAGCTCTTGATTGTTCCGAAAGGCTCTGAGTCTGCGATGCAGATGACTGTAAATGTTGAACGTGATGACTATTGAAAGTTTTTTATCATCTGCAAGAGCCGCGAAACTGGTTCTTACAGAGCAAAGTAGAAACTGCCTGAGAAGTGCAAGAGGTTGTGAGCGTTGGGCGAGAGTCAGTAGGCTGATGTGAACTGAATCTCATTGACAGGAGAAGTTCCGGAGCATCTTTAACGATAGACATCAACCAGCCGGCAGGGACGGTGAGATGGACAGCGTCGCCACCTCGAGAAAGGTTGGTCTGAAAAGTATCCCCAGTTTTGGCTGGACCAGGGACCCATCCTTGAGCGCGTGTATTTTCGGACCGGCACATCTGACCCGGGGTGTGAGGTGATTCACCATTTCACCTATGATCGACTTTATGCTGGTCCTGCTCCCTGGTTTAGCATTACATGTGGGGGGCATCTGTGTTAATTGGGCAGTCCGCCTTGAGCAGAAGCACCCCCTCATTGGTTGAAAAAAGCCATGTTGACGGGGACTGTTCGTTTTATTGGTACCGGAAGTGACGTGACCATAACGCGTGCGTTTCATAGTCGTTTGCGAACCAGTTCAGTGTATTCTGACCAAAGGAGCCCCCATTGCTTGGAAAATTGCACCCTTTCTTGGTCCATCTCGGGGCTCATTACACAAAACTTGTAGGTAAATCTTTCAATCATTCATTGTCTTGCATTTGCTGAAGAGGGAAGGACAGAACTAGCTGTTTGTCTCCTCCTACGAGATGACAGCTTTACCTTCAGCAGGTCAAAATGACGACAGTAATCCTTTTTGGAATCTGGAAAATGGATGTTGTGTTTGTGTGGTTGCTGTTGCAGCTCTGTGGCGGAATACCTCGAATCCGCAGGCAACCGAATGACAAGAAAACAACTACGCAACTCAGTCAAAAATATCCGAGCACTGCACGAGGAATTCTGGGTAAGTTTCAAGTGGGCGGAAACGTCTCCTACCATTCCCAAACCAGGCAGCAGAATTGGTCAGCTTTTTATCTGGGGAAAATGATACACATTCCCCAGCTTTCGCCGCCTGCCACTTGTGAAAGCTTTCTGCAGATGAGGTTCTTGCTTTCGATGATGTCTTGGTGTGAAACTTGACAGTGGGAGAGGCATTGCCAAACGTAAAAATTGCCCGCCTCGGCCTTGTTTTGGGATGGTGAGTCACAATATTTCAAAATGTGAATAGGAATGAAGCTTCCTGTTTGTCTGTCTGAAAGATAAATATTTAACGAAAAAAACCTTGAAATTGCACCTTTTGGTTTCAATTAAACTAATTTTAAAATTTTTTTCTGCTATTTTAATCCATATTTTAGATCTTTTTTTGGTTTTCATGCTGATGCTATTTGCATATTCATGAGCAAACCTACATGTATGATGTCATCCAAGGCACTGAACCTCAACGTTGCACTGATTTGTGCACAGAAAATTTCTAGATTTTTTTGAAGACTGCTATCATAAATTCCTTTGGCAATTTATTGTATAAGCCAGCAAGCAACCTTTTCACAGAAATGTTTTCAGATAACAAATTTGGAGTTCACAGTTTGAACATGAAAGCACGCAACCTGAACCATGTCTTCCTGGATTTACATCAAAGCAAAAGCGCCCTCACTTGTCCAGAAATGCTTGGTCAATTTTGAATGCTTAAAACGTGGACTCAAAAAAGATGTCCAACAGTCTTCAAACTTTGAACAAGAGAACAGAGATACACAAAAAGTGATTCTAAGAAAAAATGCATTTCATGAATCCTTCAATGTAAACTTCTTCAAAAGCACCTGTTTAATCGTTGGAATTCAAGGTACCAATAAAATGTCAGCCCGTCAGGAAAACCTCACTTGATTCACACCAGTCCCTGCATGGTGTAGGGAATGGGAGTGTTTTTGTTCTTATTTTTTTGTCTCTTATGCCCTCCCCCCAGGACATTCCAGACAACCACACGGTCAACATTGAGGTGCCCGGCTCGGCCTCGAAAAACCGCTACCCCAAAATTTTGCCAAATCCCACGACCCGAGTTGTGCTACCTTTCATTCCTGGGGACTCACTCTCGGACTACATCAATGCTAACTACATCAGGGTGAGTGCTAATGGCACTTGAACATTGCCTGGTTATTTTTCCTTCAGATTAAAATGTTTCAGATGTACATTTGTGCAAACTAAGCATCTACAACTTCTGCCAAGTGTTTTTCTTTCTTTGATTTTGCTTTCTTCATACAGATGGTATTAAATTCATCAAAGTTTTGATGAAAGTAGAATACCTTTTGAATCAACATAAGTTGAATTAGTGAATTCATTCTTGTTTCATAGCACTTTCATCCTGAATTTTCTCTGTTACGCTTTAAAGAAAATTTTGTTCACTTTGTTACTATTTTTCGTGCCACGCAAATCGACCGAGTACCAGTGTTTGAGAATGACGTGTTGTTTGCCCACAGGGCTATGACAGGGAACCGATGGCCTTCATAGCAACGCAAGGCCCCATGGTCCACACCATCGTCGACTTCTGGCGGATGGCCTGGTTCACAAAGGCACCCATCATCGTCATGGTTACCAAACTTAAAGAAAGAAACAAGGTGTGCATTACTTGTGCTTGTTTCACATCACCCACTGTTCTCCATCCGTAGTGGCTTTCCCCTATTCTTTTTCGGCCAATCTGCCTCAAGCACCCCTTCATCAGTTGAAAAGAGGGGCGTTGGTCCGGAGTGTTCATTTTGTTGGTAGGGATGCAACTGTGACGCATGCATTTCCTTGTCAGTGAAGTTCAGTTCCAACCAGGGGAGCTTCCCTTGCTGGGGAAATAGAGCCCTTTCTTGGTCACTAGAAAGAGCAAACGGAGCTCTTTATTTTGATGTGTCACTTTCATGGCGACTTATGACTCATTTTGTCAGGCTCGGTCACATTTTGTCAGGCTGATTTGCATTTTGTAAAGCTTGGTCACATTTTGTCAGACTGGGTCATATTTGTTCACCGGCAGTTTCTCGTGTCATTCTTTCCATTTTCAGAATAAGTGCGACAAGTACTGGCCTCCACAGCAAGGTGTCTACGGCGACATCGAGGTCAACGTTCTTGAAGTTGATCGTAAGGATGACTACACAGTTAGGACATTAAACTTAAAGGTGAGTGTCCCACAATGATATAGGAGAAAAGTTGCTGTGCTGCTTAATAAGGGAAAGTAAAATGATTTCGGGCTGTGTAACAAGGACATCAACTGACTCCAGATTTTGGCACCACGTGACAGACTAATTTTGAACGTGGTTAAAACCATATGCAGTACTATTGGAGTTTCTTCAGAGTGGCGAATTTGTCAGGATGTTACAGTTTGACACCTCTTTTTTGCTTGATTTTTTTCCTCTGTAGTACTTAGAGGAAAGTCGACAGTTGCTGCATTATTGGTACACTTCCTGGCCAGACAACAAGGCACCAGAGAACCCTCTGACGCTACTTGAGATGATCAAGGAGGTCGAGATATCCAGAATGGACACCAGCCTACCACGGGGACCGGTGATAGTCCACTGTAGGTGAGTAGACCTGGATGGGGGACTGGGGAACTTGAGACTTGTGTAAGCAAGTGAAGTGCTGGAGTTCATAGTCTTGATGAGCTGGTCGCTTCAGATCTAGCCACTATGGTTTCCCAATCAAGAAGGTGTGGTGTGGGGCTAGTGGTGTGCTACGTTTGCTTGCTGATTTGTTCTTTTTTTTGTCTTTTTGGTGCTTCTTGAGCAGTGCTGGGCTCGGCAGGACGGGCTGCTACATCGCCATCAGCATCGGTATGAGAAACCTGGAGGAGGAAAAGATGGTGGACGTGCTAGGCATCGTCTGCCAGATGAGACAAGACAGGTAAAGAAGTGTTCCAAGTCAACCGACATCTTATCTGTGTCAAGACACTGATGACTGATTCGCATGTAATTCCGATGTGTAATAACTCCAACATGTCCAAGCCCTGCCCAAATGTCTGTTTGTTTTCAGGGGTGGAATGATCCAGACGAATGAACAGTATGAGTTCGTGCACCAGGCCCTCTGTATGTACGAGAAGCGACTTCCCGAGAACGGAACCTCGACAGACTGAGCACCTAGCAGCCGTCACTTTCACAAGGCGCTCCCATAGCAACCTTAGATGTGTTAGTTGTGGATTTAATACCCGTGAAGACACCGCGAGCGCACCGTTTTATAAAAAAAAGTTGTCTACCGAAGTCTTCTGCGTGTCGTTAGCAGTCAAAACGTGTACCTCCATCGTTAGTAGATTTTGTACAGAGATATAGTTCAGTCGATACAAGATGAGATGTTCTTTACAAAATTTGAATCAGTAGGATTCTTTTCCTAAGGGAAGGTTTTTTGTAACAAGTTGTTCAGTGTGAATCAGCAGACCTTGCCTAATGTGCAACCAGGTTCTGGGCTTTCTTTCCACTACAGCTTCTTGCTTTCAGTCAAACTTAAGTCTGGAATTCCAGCTGTTTGTGCTTTCTAGAAGCTTGTCTCTGATTTAAACAAAAAATTATTCAGTGATGGATGACTGTGTATCATATCTGTGAAATATGACTCGAGTGCAATGAATATGTAGATAGAATCTAAATCGTCGATTGATAAATGGACAGAGTGCAAGGATCATCAACAGCAAATTTTGAATTCGTCCGGAAGCTGAAACTCTACATTGGTGGTTTTTTTGTTTCCTCTTTTTTCCTGTATTTTTTTTTTAAATTTGTACCATGTACTCAATGCAGCTGAATGGTTCTGTGTGGTTGGTGTATGCGTGATGTCATCTCATAGATGAGGATATTGTGTGGATGTCAGCTTGTAGTTGATATCGGTTTCTTGTTGATGTCATCTCACAGTGAGAACATTTTGTTGATGTCAGCTTGTA